GTCGCACAGCCCACCCGAGTGTCGCACAGCCCACCCGAGAGTCGCACAGCCCACCGAGTGTCGCACAGCCCAGCCGAGAGTCGCACAGTTCATCCGAGTGTTGCACATAGGGTTGCCACCCTTTCTTCAAGTCAAACACGAACACTCTAACGCTGCATGCAGCAATTTTCAGGTGGCTATGCAGGCTCTCAGGTGGGCTATGCAGGCTTTCAGGAGTGCTGTGCGGGCTGTGTGGTGTCTCACCAGGGGTCCAGAGGCGGGCAGCATGGTGTCAGGAAGACAGAGATGTTTACAGGCACCTGGAAGGCTGCCGAGGTCCCCAGCAAGCACAGAACCTCAGGCAGCTGCATCTGGCAAAAAAATGTAAAGTGCCGGCACTTTAAATGTCTTGTGTCCGGGTGTCAGCTGGCCTGAAACCTGGACACAGGACTCAAAAACTGGACTGCCCGGGTGAATCCCGTACAGGTGGCAACCCGAGTTGCACAGCCCACCCGAGTGTCACTGTCACACAGCCCACCCGAACAGCCCACCCGAGAGTCGCACAGCCCACCCGAGTGTCACACAGCCCAGCCGAGTTTCGCACAGCCCACACGAGAGTTGTACAGCCCACCAGAGTGTCGCACAGCCCACACAAACTACCAGGCCACCTGAAGACATTACTCTCTCCTTTATATTCTACCCCTATAAAAAATTGCCGCGCACGGCTCTAGAGTGTTCGGGTTTCACTTGAAGAAAAGGTGGCAACCCTAAACTATATTGATATGCAGACTGTGACTTTCACTAAAGTCGTTGGCCAAGCCTTCCCCCTTATTTTCTAGCCACGCCCCTTGACTGGGATCCTGCAAAAATGACGCTTAACAATAAAGCTGCTTGTGTATTTTGCATGATTGCCACTTCTGTCCTGGCATGTGTGACCTACCTATTACTGACACTGGAATGAATATGGTGGCACCATATGGAGGTATTTCTTAGATTTATCAAGGGTGCTGGTGGGGTCAGTTTGAGGGGTTTCTGCATAGAGCAGTAAGATATCTCATTACAAGATATATATTTTTAAGACCTATATCATAATAAATATTGTTATACATAAATGTAGTCAGCATCGGGCAACTCTGCCCACAACCATCATGGCTGCCACCAATGATCCTCTATCACTTGTGCAGCTCTTGCCCACAGTCACCATGGCCACCGTCTCACAGCGCCTTCCCCGACCAACCACCGAAGCCCCGCCTCGGCCGCAGACGCGCCAATGGGCAGACCATATATGGAAGCGGCCTGAGCGCCGCCCCCATAGCGAGCGGCCACGTACGAGCACCAGGCGGAAAAGGTCTCCCCCCAATGGGTTGAAGCGCTGGTCGTCGGCGCAGGAGTGCGGCGGCCATTTTGTTGGCGACCTGGATTTCGTCAAAAGGGAGAAAAAAGAGCGTCCGGCCCTCTCCTCTCAGCGGATAAACGTGCGGGGGAATTCCTGGGGTCCCGAAAGGCGCAAAAAGGCCTCCAGTTACCGCTGCGGGGCCGAGCTGACTCCCATACAGGTAATCGGTTATAGGAGACCCGAGTCTGAGTAGCAGCAGGGTGGTTCCCAGATCTCAGGGTCATCATCGCATCTTCCGCCCTAAGGCTGGTCATAGACGGGCCAATGCCTTATGAGATCGATAGATGGAGAGATACTTCCACTTGGGGGCGCCACAACGTTCTCTCCGACTTGGCCGACTTGTGTTGGCGCATGGGTGGTCCCCTTTCTACATATTAATGGAAAGGATAGGTAGAATTTCCTGACCTTTTGGTTGCCAAGACAACGGGCAAGGTGTCATTTTTTCTTCTTCGCGAGATGGTCACCAGTAGTAACCGATGAACCACAGATCTGTGGAATTTGGCCAATCTCACATATTAAGGTGAACCGCTCCTAAGACGTGCTAGCGGATCTGACCAATCGGCAGAGAATGGCACGGTACGTAGATCTGGTTGACGAGGACTTGAGGTTTGTTGCAGTTCTGGAAGGTCGGACGGATCTGGGAGTGGATTTGTATTCTGTTTTGTTCTGTTTTAGTATCAACCAATATTGACACATTTTTTTTGTTATTTTGGACATGTCGGGATTTAACCCAGACAAGGCTTGTTGGCGGTGAGGATGACGGTGGACTTCTCTCCTTATTCTCTGGTGGAAGTCCTGTAGGACCTCATAGGGGTTTGGTGTAATGATTGCATCCTTCGAGCATGCCATATATCCCCGTGAGGGCGAGAAACCTACTCTGAGCCAGGTGGCATCTCTTGGTCTGGACATTATTCACAGCAGGCCTAAACTCATGGAAGTCATAAATGCTTCATTGGTCCCAACAGGTTGGGATCTTCCACACGAAATTGCTGAATAGTTACATTTCGTATCCTCAATTCTTGGCCCTAACTGGATGTTCTCTGTAGGCCTTTTGCTTTTTTTTTTACGAGGGAAGATCCACCGTCACCTGAGGCTTATTATGAAAGAAAAAGACGGAGTTGAGCTTTAAAGTCCACCAGTCATGAGAGAAGTACAGAGGGAACCGTTGCTGTTCACCTGAAGATGCCGGTGACTTGGCTTTGGGATGTGGACCTTGTTGTAGATTGGCTTCTACATCAACTAGACAGCTCCGACCACTAGATGGAAAACGCATGTGGTGCTTGAGCTAGCAGACCTGGAAGGTCCCAAAGCCTTGATGTGTTGTGTCCGTAAATTTGTCTCTAAAGCCAGTGGTGTGTTTGGAGACCTTTGCTTCCTCGCGCTGCATTGTTTTAGGTACCAGGAGATAGAGTAGATGTCACTGTTAAAGGGTCACTCTACCCAAGATTTGTATTCTAGTGCTCTTCTGTCTCTTGAGGACTTTGTTGGTGATATCTGCACTGAGTTCCTGGCTTTGTACACCTGCTGTGCCCATTATGAGAGGTTCCCACCATTCCTGAACTTCCTAGAAGTTCTTCAAAGTTCCCAGGTGTGCACACCTGCTGTGCACAATATGAGGGGTTCCTACCATCCTTGTGTTCCTGGGTCTGCACACCTGCTGTGCACGACATGAGAGGTTCCTACTATCCTTGCGTTCCTAGATATGCACACCTGCAGTGCATGACATGAGGTGTTCCTACTATCCTTGCACTGAGTTCCCGGGTCTGCACACCTGCTCTCACCATTATGGGTGGTTCCCACCATGCCCACTGGGTTTTCTGTTATGGAATGGAGAAAGCAATGGGAGGATTTTCAACACCTAAAACTACCAGGGCGGGCCTTGAATCTATAAGCGCACTCTATTTTGTAGAGCAAGGTCCATCTAAAAAATTGCATTATGAACTTCCAACTATATTAATATTTAGCGAGTATAATATATGTTTCATGTATAGCTTGTTGGTGCAGCTCTTCGATTGGTTGGGTGACCTTTTGAGCTGCCATACCATAGAGTCCTGGGAAGTTTAGTAAAAATGAATTTAGTGACCAGAGGTTGATGATTCACCAAGTACCATGGGCCTGCTCCTCCTCCTCCGTTGGGTAAATATTACTGCCACCACTTATCTTGCCAGACGAGCAGAACAATTGACTTGACTTGTTCCGCTTCATTCTTAAGTGTCTCCCTTATCTGTCCATGAGTCTTTTGCCAGCTTGTAGAGGTGTATCCCGAAAACGTCTTCAGTACCATGGGCCTGCTCCTCCGTTGGGTACATTGCTTTAGGTGATGCCTTGTTGCGGGTCGATGTTCTTTCTGCCTTGCTTATTTGGCCCTAATATAAATATATGGAGATGTTGGTTGAGTAGGCGTTTGTATCCGTGTTCTCCTTCTTTGTGGGTCACCTACGCTCACCTTTTTTATTAGAACTTTTGTCAGCCGCATTTATATTACTGATGCCTAATAAAATCATATTTACAGCATTCAGTCTGGTTCACATTTATTACATAACGTAATATGATGTCCACTGTCTTCCACCAGGAACCCCTCCCCGAGCAGTCCTTTAAAAATGGATAAGGGCAAGAGTGAGATGTCCGAGAGGATATTAAACATCACCCTGGAGATCATCTACTTGCTGACTGGAGAGGTGAGGAGGATTCTGAGAGGGTCACATGACAGTACACTTATCTCTACTGATAAAAACACAGACCTGACTTGAGAGGTGAGGAGGATTCTGGGTGGCATGACGCACCTAATTGGAGAGACCTGATGCCTTCACCTATAGTCTGGCCACAATCTAGCTTGCGCTTCACCTTTTTTTGCTTTGTATGTATTTTATACTATTGCTGCCACCACTTATCTTCATTCTGTGACGGTGGATGAAAGCGGTGATTTTATAGAAGACATTTTCGATTAGTCCTGTTCATATTTGATTTCTAGGATTGCGTAGTTGTGAAGAAGTCATCAGGTGACTGTGTGACACCCAGCAGCCGCCCTGGGGTGTCCGCGGAAACAAGCCGGGCCCATGGCACAAGCAAGCTGCACATTCCCTTCCACAAGAGGAAACACGACTACCAGGTTTTAAAGCTTGCCAACAAGATCATCGAGCTGCTGACGGGAGAGGTAGGTGGTGTTCAGGAATGTCCAATTGTCCATATTTTATAGTTTGGTGGAATTTTGTATCTTTCCCTTTCAGAAAAGTAATTCCTTGAATCTAAATTGCTAAAGATTGAAGTGAAACTGTGTTTACGTTAGACACACGGCTGTGGTCAAGATCTTTTTTGTCCTTTTATCCCCTCGATATGTTTGCTTCACACCTTTAGTAAACCAGGCCCAAAAGTTTTTCAGGTTTCCTGATGGTAATGTTGTATATACCGTATTTAGTGTCTAAAAGGTTCTTCAGGATGTCCTCCTTTTTATTTTCCCCCCTTCTCTGCAGGAATTGGAAAGTGTGGATGATGACAAAGATGAAGTCATGGAAGTCCATCAGCCTCTTTCATCACCAGGTAAGAGCAGTACGCAGGGTCCACCTAGATCCCCCATCATCTGATACACACATAGAAACAATGTATTCAGTCAGTGTGTGTGTTTCCTACAGATGGATCCAGTAACAGAAACACACCAGAGAGATGTCCCAGATCTCCTGACCCCCAGGACTGCGCAGAGGATGATCAGGATTATGAGGTAAGCGTATGAGACGCGGATTGCCAATGGGATGGGCAAGGAATAGACGGTTTTGAGCTGTGTAATATGTGTCACGGGTGAGTTTGAGAGGGGCTCAGACTTTTTTTGTTCTCACCTGGAATGGTCCATATTGCAAAAGACTTGACACTTTTGAGCCTTGTGAAAGAAGGTCTACACAAAGGGGTTTCACACTTTCAGCAGCATTGTGGAAAACCTCTCTGTCAGCTGACGATGAAGAATTGGAGTGACCTCACTTGGTCCATGAGTAGTCAGATGGTTTTGCTTTCCCAGAGAGGAGCTGTGAGAATGCAATGGGTTGTGTTTTTTTTTTTTTTTCTTTTGTGATGCAGCTCAAGCCTCAGACACTTTGTGAAAACTATGAGCTAGTTTAACGTTGAGGGCTTTCCGCATAGCTGAAAGTGGAGAAGTAATTTACCAGCCTGGCTACTTAAATGAGCAAAACACTTACGCATGGGAGTGTTTAACCGCATCCCATTGACCTGAACCTTGCTTGTGACTCTTGGGCCACCAATGTTGGGGTCCCGATGTAGAAATATTTCAGTGGGCCACCAATGCTGGGGTCCCGATGTAGAAATATTTCAGTGGGCCACCAATGCTGGGGTCCCGATGTAGAAATATTTCGGTGGGCCACCAATGTTGGGGTCCCGATGTAGAAATATTTCAGTGAGCCACCAATGTTGGGGTCCCGATGTAGAAATATTTCAGTGGGCCACCAATGTTGGGGTCCCGATGTAGAAACATTTCAGTGGGCCACCGATGCTGGGGTCTCGATGTAGAAACATTTCAGTGGGCCACCAATGTTGGGGTCCCGATGTAGAAATATTTCGGTGGGCCACCAATGTTGGGGTCCCGATGTAGAAATATTTCAGTGAGCCACCAATGTTGGGGTCCCGATGTAGAAATATTTCAGTGGGCCACCCATGTTGGGGTCCCGATGTAGAAATATTTCAGTGGGCCACCAATGTTGGGGTCCCGATGTAGAAATATTTCAGTGGGCCACCAATGTTGGGGTCCCGATGTAGAAATATTTCAGTGAGCCACCAATGTTGGGGTCCCGATGTAGAAATATTTCAGTGGGCCACCAATGTTGGGGTCCCGATGTAGAAATATTTCAGTGAGCCACCAATGTTAGGGTCCGAAGTAGAAATATTTCAGTGAGCCACCAATGTTGGGGTCCCGATGTAGAAATATTTCAGTGGGCCACCAATGTTGGGTCTCGATGTAGAAAAAATTCAGCGCCTCAAAACCTAATTTTAGTATTGGGTTCACAAAAGCAGCACAGTCCTAAACTTTCATGGTGTAGAAGCTCCAGAGAGTTCCGTTAAACCTCTGATCTTTTGTAAGGATGTAGTTCCTGTTACTGGTAATGTACTTATCCCTTCAGGCCTTTCACAGTTGGCTCAAGTGCCAGAGGGACCCCATAATGCTGCTGATACAAAAATATTTGTGCTGGACAGCACCACAGGAGGAGGAGACAGCTGAAAATCCAGATGTCATGTAGGACTGTAGTAGGGACGAATAGATATTCATAGGAGTGTCTATCCACATTTCTTACATAGATCAGTCCACCTTTTCTGTGTCTTTTTACTTGTACAACGTGTACGGTTGCCTCACATGTGCTTATAGAACCAGATTTAATGACATAAAATAACAGACAACTTCCAAGTGAAGACAATAGACTTGAAGATATGTGGAATGGCAATCCTTCCGTTACCACTGTTTTCAATACATTGTACAATACCAGAACTTTAATGCTGTAACAAAAATTGCTTCTACAGGACCACTTTAGTCAGCTGACTACAGTCCAGTAGATTAGTTTGTTCATATCAAACGACTCTTACTTGTAATTCATTATCTTGCTATGAAGGGGGTTTGGTGGTTGATGACCTTAAGGCACTCTTCTTGCTTGTGAAAAAACAAGAAACCTGTTGCACTAGGTTGGGAGTTGGAATAGCGGATATTGGATTGAAAAAACTTCATGATCTGACGAGTCCCAAGGCTTCAGATATGTATGCAACATGAATGTTGGTGTTTGGCTTAAGGCCACTTCCCTGTTTCCCCGAAAATAAGACCTACCCCGAAAGTAAGACCTAGCACTATTTCTCAAGATACCTGTAATATAAGACCTACCCCGAAAATAAGACCTAGTTTGGTGGTAGCATGTGAGGGGGAACGTGAAGAGCAGGAGAGATGGTATCTGCCTGCAGGGACATACTGTATCCGGGGATGACAGTGGACTCCCTCCGGCCGGCGCAGTGACAGGGAGCACTCCAGTACCATACTTCACTGCTTAATGTAATGGTACTGTAATGTGTACCGGTAAATGGTACCGTACTTTACTGCGCTGTCCGATGTCTGCACTGCTGGTACAGCTGTCCGGTACTGTGACAGGCGGAGTGATACAAGATAACGTTCGATTGTTGTACATGAATAACTTTAGATTGTTGTACATTTTGTTGCACATTAAAAAAAAAAAGACATCCCCTGAAAATAAGACCGAGTGTGTTTTTGTGGGGCAAGAAAAATATAAGACAGTGTCTTATTTTAGGCGAAACACGGTATTGTCCGAGGATGGTTCATCAAATGTGAGTACAGCTCCGTGTTGTATGTATGTAGTCGCTGGATCTCTGTTTACCTGAAAATCTGTCCATTGAGATGGATACGACTCTTCAAAGCAGCGATTCCTCATTGAGCTCTCTGAACTTGTGTAATGAAGAATTGTATTTGGTCTGGAACACTCTGCACAGTTGGACTCCAATGTCTGCAAACTGCTGTGATGGAAAAATAGATATGGTGTAACACGCAAATAATCAATAACTTTGTGCGGCAGAAAAGTTCTTACTTTTTCGGCAAGTGTACTTCGTGGTTCCGCAAGAAAAGTTTTTTTGTGGTGCTTTTTGTAGATCCAACAGGGCAGGAGCAGGCAATCTTAGAAACTAAAGGTCTTTGAAGAGTTGAATTAAGGTTGGACATTTGAAGCGGAAACGCAGAACGTTGTTTTCCTCACCAGGTGGATAAAAGCTTCCATGATCAAGGTCGGGCATTCAAACCGATTGGGTATATCCATCCCAAGAAGACACATTCCCACGTTTCATATCAACAGTGAGATCAGATTGTGTGGCTACCCCGAAAAAGGATTTTCTACAGCCTGGTCCGTAGGGTGAAAATTCCTTTTGAGGCGAGGGAGACATTGCTTAGCACTGATTGACACGTTGACAGGAGGCTTATTGAGGCCTATTATGATCCTAACCAAGTCTATGGCTCTCTTCCACCAATTGCTATGAAGCCTTGTAAAGGATGATGCTTCAACTTCAAGTCCTCGGGTTGCTCCTTTCAGGCTACATCCACCTCTGTCCACAGCCAGCCAAAGTAGAAGTCGTCTCCGCGTGAAGTGCGCATGTATGTATCGCATCATATCGTCACTGCCCATGAGTGTTAGGGAGGGAACTCATAAATAATGTGTCCAGGACCCAGTCAGTGTCCGTTTTTAAAATATGAACTGTTGGTAGAGGTAGGTGCGACACTGACATCATTCAACCGCATGTTGTTTTGTGCGCCGTCTAGGCCAATGACCTGGTCGTTATTAAAGTCGAGAATGTAGATGAAGAGGAAATGTGCTCGATTGGCAGTCAACCTTGTTTGAAGGACGAGATCCCCACAGATGTTAGACCAGGTTAGTAATGAGCCCTAAATTTTCTATTTTTGTACCTCGTTACTGCTCATAAGATAGGCCCAGTCCTGCCCTCGCCCCCTGAGTTGTGGACTTCTTTTAGCCAGCTGTAGTCTTTAGTGATGGTGACTGAGTTATGCATACTCAAAGTATTTACATCTATTTAATGAATTCCCTCTAGATGGTCAAATGAGGCAACACGAGAAGGGGTGTAAAATGCCAGATTGGGATGTAGAACAGAGAATCAAACAAGAATCTCCAGGTGGAACTCCCATTACTCCAGCTGTCCCTTTTGGAGGTCAAAGTTTGGACAGATCACCTGACTCTGATCCTAATCAACCCATAGAAAGTTCTAAGCGCTCCTTCGACGCGGATACCACCAAAAAAACACCCAGTAGACGCAACAGAGAATTTTTCTGTGAGTTCTGTGGGAAGTGTTTTACCCAGAATGTCAGTCGCATCGTGCACCAGCGTACTCACACGGGCGAAAAACCTTTCACATGCGTGGAATGCGGGAAGAAATTCACGCGCAAATCTATCCTAGTCAGCCATGAGAAGACCCACAAGGGCGAGAAGCCGTTTCCGTGTTCAGAGTGCGGGAAGTGCTTTGCCAAGAAATCGGATGTAATGAGACACCAACGAATCCACACCGGGGAGAAACCCTATGCATGCCCTTTGTGCGGGAAGGGCTTCAGCCAGAAGTCCCACCTGGTGGAGCATCAAATCATCCACACCGGTGAGAAGCCGTATTCCTGCGACATGTGCGAGAAAAGCTTCACGCAAAAATCGCATCTGGCCGACCATAAAAGAGTCCATACAGGCGTCAAGCCCTTTTCCTGCTCGGAGTGCGGGAAGTCTTTCACATTGAAAACCGTTTTGGTGGAGCACCAGAGAATCCACACGGGGGAAAAACCCTTTAAGTGTGCAAAGTGTGGGAAAGGCTTCACGCAAAGGTCCATCCTCACTAAACACATGAAGGTTCACTTTAGCGAGAAATCTTTCCAATATACCGATCCCCAGCAGGGTAACTATCTTCCTCTGCTCCCCTTCCAGCAACCCAGTGATGGTAACCCTGGGACTTCTGCTATAGGAAAAACTGAAATTCTGCCACCTTCTGTAAAGTAACCCTCTAAGTGTTGGATGTGGAACCGAGGAAACGCCAACACCTGAGTCTTCTGTAGGGTCGTTCTGTACATGGAATAGCATGAGCCGTTTATCAGTTTGAGGAATGTAGAACTAAGCCTGTTGTCTCAATGCTCATGCTGGAAGAAAAAAGGACTACATAGATAATGATCCACCAACTTCACTT